ACCCCTGACATTCTGTGATTCTGTGAGGTGAGGGCAGGGAGTGCTATCTTATAGATTGCAAGAGAAAACGATAAATAAAAACCACACGACGCCATGGAGCAGATGCCACACAAAAGGAATACCTCAAGCGGTAGCCAATTCCCCACTTGCTTTTCAGAAAAAGAGAGGATCCAAGGCATTTTAACATCCCTTGAGAAATCACAGCTTTACGATCTAGGAAAGAAAATTTAAAAAAGAAAATAAATCAAGAAGGTCTTGTCAACTAGAAATTAATTTTCACCAAAAACTAATTATCTATTTCAAATAAAGGTGTATGCCACAGCGAGAGGAGCATCACTTTGCTCCAGCAGGCAACTGTCCCTGGGTGCAACCCAGAGGCTTGCGGCAGGGCTCACCGGCCAGGATGTCGGCTTCATCCATGAAGTGGGTGCTGAAAACGGTCACGCGATCCGCTTTCCTGTTCTTCAGGAGGTTCCAGACGATGTGCCGCGAGCACGGATCCATACCCGCCGTCGGCTCATCCAGCAGCAAAACCTTTGGGCAAAACCAAGAAGCGTTTGCAAAGGCAAAGCGTGCAAAGCGCCGACCTCAGGACATCCTGCCCGAGGGACAGATCCTGGACTGTCGGTTTGAATTCTGCTGGTTAGTCCTCTAAAACCTAAAGCAAACATCCCAGAGTAAAGCAAAGCGCTCAGAATAAACTCCCCTCCTGTTGTGACAAATGGAAAAGTCACACAGTAAACTACTGCCATGGTCTGATTTACTCCATCTCTACCACAATTACATTTAGCTATGGGCTTGCTCCTCTTAAGGCTGGTTAAACACACACACGTGCTTTGGAAATCCCAGTGAACTGCCACATGTATCATTTTTAAATAAAGACCTGAAAGCAGGCCCCATTCTTAAAGGCCAGAAATAATAATTCTGTAACACAAAAGAGCTCTCTGGCACCGTCCCAGCTACCAGTGCCCGCGGGGCTTTGCAAGGAAAGTCTCCAATACTGTCAGGAGTTAAACTTATCACCTGTCAGAAATGACAAAAAACTCGTCCCCCTGTTTATTTCACGAGATAAATCCAGAGCTACCTAAGCCATTAGCACCCTCAAGCTCTAAAGTCGAGCTCTTGATAGTCTTTTAATTGTTTAAACCATAAGTGAGAAAGGGAGGGGGTGCATTTGTTCAAGGGACAGTTTCTTACAGCAGTGATTTCTGCGTTCTGTACATTGTTATACGCATCAGATCTCGACCCTTCAGCCTTTTAGCGGTGCCAGGTCAGGATCGGCTCCATCCCACCCACCTTGGGGTTCCCGAGAACAGCAACTCCCACCGACAGCCGCCTCTTCTGCCCCCCGCTTAATTTTTTAGCTTGGTTGTCTCTGATAGGCTGCATATCCAAATCCAACAACACTTTCTGCACCTTTAAAACAGAAGAAACACACTTGTTGTTAAAGGAAAAAAACCCAACCTATTTTTTTTTTTTAAAAGCAGATAACTAACATTAAAATGAACTGTTCAACATTCACAAGCTCCAGCAAACCTGAAGAAGTTAAAAGGTGTCTATGCTTGAACACAAAGGCCAGGATTTAAAATCTTTCATGAGCATTTTAGTTTCCTAGGAAAAATTAAGTTTGTCTTTGTAAAAACACCTGCCTGTACCTCTTTGTCTACATTACTGTCAAGTAATATTTCCCTGCAAACTTGTCTTAAGGAAGTATCTGTAATTAAAGCTAGCTTGTCCTAAAGGTTAAAAATGAAGACATAAGAGAGTATATGTGTGCCCAGCTGGCTTACCTCTTGTATCAAATCGTTCTGAGGGATCCCTTTAATTGCAGCAAATATGGAGAGATTCTCCTCCACGGTTAATATATCGAAGTGTATGTCGGACTGGGGACACACCCCCGCTATCTGTCGCACTTCCAGCATTTCATCGATTTCGGAGACTTTGTGCCCATAGACAGAGACTCCACCGACAGAAAAAAAAAAAAAAAAAAAAAAAAAGCTAAGAGTGATCAACCGAGCGATTTTTTTTCCACAGCCAGAGAGCAAAGTGACACGGATGCAATGCTGAAATGGGCTCTTTCAGAGAAAAAATAAATAAATTGGTGCATCATGACATAATAAAAGAAATGAAGAGTGTTGTTTTTGCAA